AAAGCATCATGCATACTGTGCAGACCAATGAATATGTTGTATTCACATCCGGGCCCGACCGAGTTAAACAAGATTTAGTGTTACAGGCCCATATACCCAGAGCCTACCTACAGTATAAACAGAACTATTCTGGTGTTCAGACCTCACAAGACTGGTTAGGACTCAATTACACATACATACATTCTTCTGAAAATACAGACAATATTATTAGATCAAATCTCACAAATCGATGTTTAGCCCCCAAATATCAAACCCTAACAATTAACACACACAAAGGCAGACAGCCCACTTGTCAATGCACAAATTAGACTGATGACCCTCTCTATCACCATCACCTTTCATCACCACCCAAAGCTAGAATAACCATTGACAACCTTAGGGTTCTTCAGTCCCCCTTTCTTCTTTCCTTCCTCCCTCCTTTTATTCTTCACTTTTCTTTCCATTAAAGCCTTCAAGACCTTGCTATCGCCTATCAGAACATTGTCACTAAAACTCATGACTTTGAAAAAGCATAAAACCTTAATCTCAGTAGAAATTATAATTTGCTTGAAAAGATACAATTTCGTATGTGTAATAATATAAAGCATATCATTATTGAGTTGCTATGGTTGGGCTGATTAGAGTGATTGGAAACTGGTGGCGGAGATGGAGGTGGTAGTTGGTCACTGAAGCAATGCCCGCACAGGCAGCAGTGTGTGGAGGAGGCAGGGGGGAGGGGGTCTAATTTGATTCTACAGCCCGTGGAAAAGGTGGCGATGCCTTCTCTATACACAAATACATACATATATACACATTACACACCACCATGCAAGGCTAAACTAATATTGGTCTACTTCATCCTCTTTTAACTTGTTCCATTGATATGATGCCCCCTCTAAATCATTCTTCCCTTAGTTCATCCTCAATTGGTGTCACCTCCATTTGTTGCATTGTATCAATAACAAAACAACAAGAAGATAAGCCTCATTCCTAATAAAATTGTGGTTGGCTACTTGTATCATTTTTCACACTCCATTCAATCCTAAGCTACATCTACTAACATAATGAAATCAACTATTTGACATCTTCATTTTCGCTATATTCATTTTATGGACATTTGTATTTACAGCTCAATTTTGATACTTACATCTTAGTTGGTTTTATAATCATTCCATCAACTTACCTTTTAAAATTTAACTTAAAACAGATTTCTTGTATGATCATGTAGAATTCAATTTGTCCAACCTGCTCCGATCTTATGCATTACATCCTCTTCAAGTCCTTTTTTCTATAACCATACCTAAATTTTATAAATTGAAACAATATATATGTAGACATTTAAGTAAAGTAGATGTAGGATCAAGAAAGTTTGGTTAGAATAGGGTCCAACTTGCTGTATATTTAATATGCTTGAAGGAGCTCTTGCTTTTAAAAAGTTTCAAGTTCTCTGCTCTTGCACTCCTACTTGCACCTTATGTAAATTAGCGTTTGTTAGTTGACAAGTTTCAAACTAAGTTGAGGGATTTATTTAAGGTTTAGGGCGAGATTGGTTAAGGTGTGCCATAATCAAATTACAAACCCTAAAATAATACAGATGCAAATTTCCTTGTTCAGTCTCTATTAGAGCAGCAGCCTCATGCTGCTTTGCTAATTTTACAATTTACACATTTCATTTCTAATTGTTTTTAGCTATTCATGCTATTGTATTTACAACTCGTGTACTCAAATGCTACAAAGTCTTCATACTTGCTCCAGATTTCTATTTTATATATGGAAAAAAAATTCTATTGACTGTATATAGAAAATCTAATCTAACATTTCATTTCACTAGAAAAACAAGATGAACAAGCAACTAATACCTTGAAAAGAATAAAAGGCGTCTGTTTCTGAATTCTAAAGCTGCGGACTTTATCATAATCAACAAGATCAAAATATATATCCTTTCCAATTTGTTCCTTCAAATCCTCATCTCGGGCAACCTGTAAATGTTGGTAAATTGCATCAGCATTCATTCTGAGGAAACAGAGATCAATCTTTATGTAAGAAAGTTGCACTCTAGAAACAATAACCTTGATGACGGTAAAAAGGTGGGCATACGCTTTATATATCCTCTCGTCTTCCTTCTCTTCTTGTTCTTTTTTCAGTCTCATCTGGAATACATAGTGCTTGTGATGTTTTATGTCTAAACTCACAACAAAGCAGGATAGAATGATTTCCAGATCCACGTCCACAAATTTACCCTAAGATGTTCCGCGATGTCCTTCTCATCAACATCACATATTATCTTATACTTATCACCCACACGTATATACACCAGCATGTAGATAAGCAACACGTTCAAAATGGAAATACAAGAAGATCCAAGGAAAAAGGAGAAATATTACCTCTTCCGCACCACCATACTGGTCCTCTAAAGCTCTCTTTATATCTTCTTTAGTCACCCTCTCATCATCAATTTTGTAGCTAAAGATGGGAATCACAAAACCACAAGGCGAATCTCACGTGTCAAATAAAATGATGAAACATCAACTAACACTCAAACTCCCTTGATGTAACAGATAAAAGCATAAACATGCATAGAAGTACTCACAGCTCTAAGCAGAATTCATCTTCTTTGGGTCTCTCCAAAGCACGAAAATGGACAACCACCGTGGTGTTCTTATCATTTTCCATTTTCTGATTGCCACTTTCCATTTGCCCTGTCAGAAAAATATGGCATTTTGTTTTAATATGACGCTCCTTAATTGACCGTGATATAACTTTTGACTTATTATAAGTAACAAGAGCTTTTGCTTGATCAATACCTGTGCTAACACCAGATGTTTTTTTCCTTTTTTCTTCATTCTGCATGCTATATTTCACAAAATCCACAGATAAAACACCATTAGAAGCAGAATCGCTAACAGTCGTGATGAAGGTCTCCCAACCATCTGGCAATGAGCTCAAAAGCAACAAAGCTTGCAATTCATTTTCAAGTACCATACCCATAGTTGCTAGCTGGTTTATGATATTCTGGAAATTATTCAAATGCTCTGTCATGCTCGTGTCTTCCTTGTATTTCATATTGACTAAGTCTTTGATCAGAAAAAACTTTTTGGTTACGGCTTTCTTCTCAAACATTAACTCCAATTTTGTCCATAGTTTATGAGCATTTGTCTCTTGCAACACATGACGAAACACACTGTCACCCACCCACTGTATGATTGTTCCTATAGCCTTTCTATTCTGAATATACCATTGCTTTTCAGTCATTTCCTCTGGTTTAGCTTCATCACCTTCAATAGGTTCATGTAAATCCTTACAATAGAGGATTCCCTCCATTCTAGGCTTCCAAGTCACCCAATTTTGATCGGTGAGTTTAATCATAGCACTACCAACCGACTCCTCCTAAAATTAGGTGTGTTGTGTTGGTCCTCCAATACCATACACCGACGCACAACAACAATATATGTAAGATAAAACACAAGAAAACACCAATATGAAACCTCAGAATCAATTTCCACTATAGTAATGGGAATACAATAGATTCTCACAAGTCAATACAAGAGGCATAATACAATATGAAGAACACGTCTTTATTCATCATCAAACAATATGGAATCCAAAAACAACATAAATAAAAGAGAGGTTAAATCTCACCAAGTAACACTTCCAAGAACAATTTTGTAGAAACTATTAGATTCAAAGAAGAAGAGCAAAGAATCATGCTTGATGTACACTCAAAGTATACATCAAGCATGACAGCCCCCAAAGGAAAGAATAAAGGGTTTTGTTCTTGAATCATGCTTGAGGTTTGATTCAGCATAATCCAAGAACAAAATCCTTTGCTCTTCCCTTTTTCTCGCGGACTTATAAACTGGGGGATGCAAAATTGCATATTAGTCCTCCTATATGGACCTCTTGACATCTAATATTGCAAAAGAAACCCTCAACTTTTGACTTAAGTACTTCATGGGCTGGACCTAATTCAAAATAGAGCTCCATTTTGACAAACTCATTTTCAACACACATTTCATGGAATTGATGACCTTTTATCAATTTTTACTAAAATTTACTAAAAATCTTAATTTTAACTGAAGCAAATCTAATTTTTCAAAGACGATTTTATATTCTCGTTAGTCGTGACTATTTTGATATACAATTTTTAATTTCATTAAAGGCCTCAGCCTCATTGCTACACATATGAGGCTGATTTTTTTTATTATTTATTTTTAATTGCATTCTGATAGTGAATCATCCATTAATTAGCATAACTCATGGTAAGAGGGAGATTAATTTGCCCCTCTTATTTTGCATTAAGCAAAAAGTAACAAATACAAATTGCAAATAAATATTTGTTTTCTTATTTTAAAACACACTAACAAATTTTTGGATAAAAATCGTCTTCAAGGATAGTATGTAAATGAAAAGTTAATGATAAAAATGTTAAATATAAGTAATGACTTTTTGAACAAATCCAAATCGAATGTTAGCGCACAAGTTTGGTGATGATAGTTTGTTGTTGGCAGCTCGGAGAAGAAATAAATAATGAATCGAGATAGACACATGAAAATTTAGAGAACGTTTGGCAAATGCTTGTAAACATGCTAAAAGTCAAATAACTTTTTATTCACATATTTTGTAAAATCCACGAATACAAGTCACTTATACACTACTCCTTTTTGTATGTTCATAAAAATGTGCCAAACATTAAAAAGTCTGAACATGAAAGTGCATGTACAAGATTGCTTATTTGCTTATTGGTTTGGCTGCAGAATAATCGAGATCTCGAGCTCATGAAGTCACAAGTTGATACTTGATACTCATGTATGGCTCCATCCACGAAATAAAATCTTATCATAACCACAAAAGTTTATAGTAATAAGAGGTTTATGAGTCTTAAATCTTATCAGACATTGAGTAATACCAGTGAAATAGAAACAGATACGAGTTGAAGAACATTCGTAGTACAAACTTTCTCTATACAATATGTAAAGATTGGAATGACCATAAGGATGAGCAAATCCTCAAGCACTTGATTATCAGGCATCAGCTAAGCTTTCTGGTGCTACAAATCCGATGCTGAAGTCGAAAGTAATGCAAGTCAATTGCTTCTTGTTTGCGTCCACCATCGTCATTTTAAGTGTGTATGAACCCTGCACATGTCAAACACCATAAGCTCTTCATCGTCCCCAGATGAATTTTGATGCTCCGGTAATTCTTCCCTTTTTTTTCTTATTTATTCATTCTTTTCATTTTTTGTTGGGGGTTGGTTATTTTGATATAAGCAGAGAACTTACAGGAGGTGTAATTCCAGGCAACTCTTGGGAATGAGAAACCACAAAATCCCCAGCAGAAACCGGGCAGGATGTCTCCGAGCAAAGATTGTGGTCCTCACTGTAGACATGAAATATAAAGTAGGTAACATCAACAGTCAGCTTCCCACCGGAGATTGGTTCCTCTGCAAGGCAAGCTCCACATAAGTATCTTCTCACGATTCATATTATTTCGACATAGAAGCTTCATTCACGATGATGAGTGCATGCAAATTCTTATTTTTGGTTAAAAGGATAAAAATTAGGAAAGGGGACTAATATGGGAAAGAATTAGAGATTCATTACCCATAAATCAAAAAATCAACAAAGAACGTTGACCATCAAAGATCATCTGGACAATGTGCTTTGTTCTGTGATCAACGTCTTGTGAGGTCAAACAAACAGTTTGTTGACACAAATTTCGTAACTAATTCAATTTTCAGAATAAAATTAGGAGAAAAATAAGATTTTACAGAAGTTCTACACTATTAAGGCCCGTTTGGCATGGCTTTTCAAAAGCCAAAAACTGCTTTTGAGACTAAGAAACTGCGTTTGAATATGTTTGGATAATTTTTTGAAAGTACTTTGTCCGGAACCAAAAAAAAAAAAACTTTTAAGAGGAAGTTGGCCAGTGGCCTAAAGTAGTTTACTCAAGAAGCAGAAGCAAAAGTCTTGCCAAACTGGTCCTAAATCTTTTGCTTTTAGAGACAGAGAAACTAATGCTACTAACCACCTCAAACATAAGATACCCTAACTTTCAGAAATCTTCAAAACAGTCTGTTTGGTGTAGAGCACTAAATTCTTTTGTCACATATTTCAAACACATCCTTTTAACACCACATAGAAGCTATTAAAAAAGAAGAGGCATGTAAATGTTGTTGCTAGTGTTGTCCCTTATTCTAGTACACAATTCAATAATTGCAAGTCAATACACAGAAAAGGTTATAGTATTGCAACAGGACCTAAAATGTCTGAACTATGAGGTGAAGAAATTATAGAAGGCATAAAAACCAAACTATTACCTGTAGATGCAGCAATGCTGAAGGTGGTATTTTTGCCTCTGGAGATTGGATAAGGATTTATCTCAATTCCACTAACCTTAACAGGATAGTTGGCTTTCTTATCTGCAATTTATCTGGAAAGTGAATAAGGAGAAAAAGTATAGAACGAAACTAAGAAACAAAACTTTCTCACAATCAACAAAAACTTCAATTCTCAAGAATCTGCCCCAGGTTCCAAGCTAAGAAGCTGGGCATGGATATCACTGAGACACCCTTAAGAATGAATACAAATAACATGCATGTCGGTATATTTTCTACTACTACTGCTAGAATTTTTACACAAACTATTTTATACTACAAGTATAAATCTTATGCCTATTTACCCAAACACAAATATAGTGTGTGTTTGGTAGGAATTTTTGGGGAAAGAATTGATTTTTGAATAGTGATATGATGGGAAATGTGTGGTTGAAAAAGAAGAAAAAATTATTGATGTGGTGAAAAATATTATTTTATTGAAGAATGTGTGGTTGAAAATGAGAATTGATTTACTTGATGGGAAATGTGTGGTTGAAACAGAAGAAAAAAGTATTGATGTGATGGAAAATATTATTTTATTGAACAATGTGTGGTTGAAAATGAGAATTGATTTACTGTAGAAAATGAGAATCTGTACCAAACAGGCTCATACTCCCTCCATCCCACAAAGATAGGCTTACCTTATTTTCACACATATTTAGAAAAATGTAATTAATGTAGTTGGAAATATAATTTTTTCTTACATTATTTCATAATAAACTCCTACATTAAATAATGATAAATAGGAATAGTTCATATTTGTTGATAACAAGACGCATTAACTAGGATTATGTTAGAAAACTTAAAAATCAACTATACCCTTCATAAAGAAAGATCTCTATAACTTGGGATAAATGACAAAGAAAAGCAAGTCTATCTTAATGGGATGGAGAGAATATAGAGGGTGTTTGACACCCATTTTTTAGAGAATAGAATTTTTGAAATAGTGATTGATGGGAGAATGTGTGGTGGAAAAGTTATGAAAAATTTTAGATTTGTGTGTAATATTATTTTATTGGGAGAATGTGTGGTTGAAACGAAGAAAGAGAAAAAAATAAGAATGAGATGAGAATGAGTGTCAAACAGGAACATAATTTATCTATTATATACACTCACCACACAAAAAAAAATACATATATATATATAGTAATTAAGAATTGTAGAACTTTTGTTTACTTAATGGAATTGTAAACTTAAGTATTAATTAATCGGTTAGGTGCAAACACATACAAACATTCATGGTATTTGATCATATTTGAAGGAAATGATATTTGTATCTCATTATATATCACATGGTTGAGCATCATAGAAGTGTCCATTATTGTTTGAGAAGTGTTAGGCCAGTGCCAGATTTTCGATTTTTACTTTCCAATTTGATCAATAGTGTCAAACACACGTTGGATAGAGCCTAGTAGTGTTGGTGTCCAATATAAATATGATAGTTTGCTTCTTGAGAGCTTCGAGAATCCTTACATTCAAAACGTGAATTTATCACCAGTCACAAAAGAAAGTGTAGCAATTTTAAAAAGTCCCTCCTTTAGGGCCAAATTGAAGAATGGCCATGTTTTTACTAGTTAGTCAAAATTGCCTTCTATTTCCTTATAAAATTAACAAAAATGTCTATTTAGCATCAGAGAGGATGGTCAACTCGACCCTCTACTCACCCTACTTCACCAAAATACCAATTCGATCACTTAGGCAAGTTGGGAAGTTGATAGTGTAAATGCTTTCATATTGGATCGACAACATGTTTGGCAATGGAAGTTCATTTTCTATTATCACTCTCTGGCTTCTTCATTATCCACAAACATTTCAATATGTACCAAATCTATTACCTAGTAGTCCAATCTCCTTTGAGCAACTCAACACCTAACACACGAGTTTCTCGCGATAAATATCCAGTTTGAAGATTCTCCACACCCAAAAAAGACCTCGTCCCATTTTTACCAGAAAACCTGAATAATTCAATTTTCCTTTGCCTTTTGATTATCACATTGGTGGAAGAGGAGATAGACTTTTACGATCATTTTTTCATCGGGGTTCAAAAGAAAAATAAAAAACAAAAAAACGTGGGTCAAAAATAAGTTCTAAACAAAATATTCAATTTTTTCGGCATCCCAAGAAATTAACTCAAGTAAAGAAACGCGAATTACTAAATCAACAAGCAATGAAAGCTAAACTGCTCAATTAATATATTTTCCTATTCAACAAAAAATAATGAATAAAATAAGAAACCATAAACCCTACTCAAACGTGCAGTATGAACGCAAAAAAAAAAGAATCATTTTCAAACAAAGCAAATAACGAAGATTAACTTACTGCAGTAGTGAACCTCAGTGGATTTGGCAGAAGTAAAAGGTATAATAATCAAACACGATGAGAAGAGGATTAGGGCAAGCAGAGGCTTGAACTGAACCATTGTCATACTTCGATAAATTCTAGAGAGAGATGAGAATTTATTTCTTGTAATTGCTGGATCAATGTTCAATGTTTCTCCGTTAGCGTGATCTGTATATTTCTGATAAGAAAAAGGATAAATATCTCGAGTCTCGGTCTCCTCCTAATAATTAATGCAGAAAGATTCCTTCCTTCGAATGGTTGCATTGAGCTGGACTGGACTTGACCCGATAAGTTCACTTCACCCAAAGTCGACCCATTAACATGTGGAATAATTTGTCGACATATTCAATATTTTGGGATTAATTTGACAATTAAGTAAAGAAATTATAGTTCATAACACTGATTCCATTACAGGCCCAACACTAATGTTATCCACTTCATATCACTTAGAATCAGCTCACTCCCCTTGAACTTACAATCATTTCAAGCATTATTCGATAGGATTCATCTTAAAATCATTTTGTAAAGAGCGGATGTCCAATTAGTTATAAATCCAATAGGAATGCCTTACACGAATGATATAAGATACAATTATGAAATAACATTCCACTCATCTTCAAGATTGACATCCACGACGGTCCATTTTCTTTAGATCAATGACTCTGTGAAATCAGTATCTTTCCAGAAGTTCTCTCCCTTTGTCGCATCGTCCACAACAAGTTTCTCTCAAGACGGTGTGACTTCTCTGATACCAATTGTGGATTATAACCAATTGCCCCAATTCCATTTCAAGTTGATTGTAAGAATAAGCTCTATCAAATGCAATTATCATGGTACATAAATAAAAACCAGTAAATATAATTTATTTCTTTATAACAAGAATTAGATTTTTTTTATCGAACTTTTTTTTCTAGATAAAAAAAAAATGCAGTTTATTGTTAATAAGGTTGAATATATAATTAGGCTCTGTTTGACCCTAATTTTTTCTTCATTATAATGATAAATATGACTGCCGGAAAAGAAACAGAATTTAGCCACAAAAAAGAATTTTGAACACACATAAATTTATATACTAAAAAGTAAGAACGCGCCAGGTAGGGGTCGAACCTACGACTTTCTGCTTAGGAAACAGACGCTCTATCCACTGAGCTACAGGCGCTTTATTGCTAACGAACTTCAATAATACTTATTTCATACTTTAATTATTTCTTCGACTTCTGAAATTTAAACGTAGAAATGCGCTCTCTTTCAGTCACTCAACTGTGTGTGTGTGTGTGTGAGAGAGAGAGAGATATGGAGGAATCAATCGGGAAATTCTGCAAAACGGTGGCGGAATTCTGCAACCACCTCCAAACCAGCTGCGCCGCCCTCAAAGAATCCGTCGATCGCCGCCCTATTCCCCTGGGTAAATACTCCACATTTACCCTCCTCCGCTGTTAATTAATCATTTAATTAGCTAAATCACATTTTTAATTCGCTATTTAATTCACAGACTCTGCATCCACAACCTTCGTGCAAAGCGTTAACAGGAGGGTATCGACCGCCGCCAGTGACTTAAACATGCTGGAATCCATGTCTTTTGGGACGGTGTCGTTTGAGGAGCTGCTGGGACATTGCAATGAAGTGTTGAAGAATAATCAAAACGATGTTTCTGTCCTCGAGGACCACCTTCGCTCCTCCTTCAACTACATTCCCCCTCGTCCGTTTGCCTCTCTTACTCAATTTTTCATTTTCTTTAAAATTTGAATTGGTTAATAGTTTTGTTTTAGGTTTTATTAATAATTTATTTCTCATATTTTTCTAAACATATTAGTTGATTTTGACGATGACGACGTAGAAGACAGCAGTTTGGATAACTTCTCAGTGGAAAATAGCACATTGGACTTGAAGATCAATAGTATAGAAGAGGACCCTTTGTATCCTTTTTAATCTAGTATGTAAAATGTAAAAGCACGCAATGCCAACCATATTACGTTTTCTGTTGTACCATATGTTTTTACATACTTATCTCGGTTCAAAAATTTTGATGCCATTCATGTGATGGGCTGGGATTTTCTTGATACATACTTAACATATGGTAGACTTGATGATTCATTGAGTTTAAAGAATTTCGGAATCTCAGATGTTTGTCTTGCAACCATAGCATCTCAAGGTCAGTTTATGTTGTTTAGGCCACTGCTAAAATAATATACAAAAGCTCTATTTTTTTCCTTCTAAATTTACATTTCATGTGATGCATATGGCACAGCTGACCGTGATTTTGAGATGGAAGAACCTTATCATCAGTCCGCCACTGAAAGCTTGGAAGTGATGGAAGGTGGGAAAAGTGTCCGATACCAAGTATCAAAGTTCTCTTGATTGTCATTATTATTTAACATATGTAGTTGTTTTTATTTTTTAATGCATGTAGGAGAAATGGAAGATGATTCCAAGCAATATGAAGATTCTAAGCATCTTATAAATGTCTCAAGAGATGAATATGAAAGTCTCCCTAAATTCATGAAGAACTTAACTTCTTGGGAGGTAAGAAAGTATTTTCTTGCTAGCTTATATCAGCCAAGAAATGTTCTTTGGTTCATGCATATATTGATAAAGCATTTTAGTTATTTATTCTCGTACAAGCTATTCCGCTAACATTGAAGTGGCTAGTTATTCATCTGAACCGTAGAGGATCAAGTTTGGAATGCATGAAAAAGCGTTCACATAGAATTTTTCATGTTGCAGGGAGTTTAGAATTGTGAAATAAACAATTTTCTTCAAAATTGAGATTTTGAACAAAACTATGGTAGTTGGTCTCCTGTTTGAAGATTGAAGAGTTGTAGATCCACCATTAAAAGTGAGATGCAATAGAGCTTTTATTGGATTATCGGTAATGGCGAAGATTAGTTCAGAAACAGAGAATAAATTAATGATGGTGTTTTCATACAAATACGCCCATTAGTAGCTCAGCGATTTACATTTAGGCAAGAGTAAAATTGAGTGCATTTAATTTTTTGCATATTTAACACTGCTTTATGCATCTTTAGCACATTCCATACAATAGTTTCTTATTAAAATTTTAAGTGGCCCAAGGAAAAATATATGTGTGTGGGTTTGGTTATGGAAATGCAGATAATCTTAGCAAACTGATTTTGTTGTTGATGCCCTGTGTTTCATTAAAGAAGATCGATACTTCTAAGCTTTTGTCAATCACATTTACTAGTAGAAGAAAACTGACTCCTACATTTATGAAGACTTTTAGAAGTAATCTGTGGAAACATAGATAAGTGGGAGGATCTTTGAAATATATGTAGAGCAACAAAATATAATTGCAAATGAGTTGTTTTACAGTTTCAGTTTGTGAGGGAAATACAGAAAAAAGAACACGTGTGTTTCTTTACCATCATTATCATGATCATGATCATTATCCAATTATTCTTGACCTTCACTAGTTCACAGAATGCAAATTCTTAAACCACCGTTACAGGATCTCCTAGTTGCTGTTGGGAAGTTAAACTCGTGCCTGGAAACAAAAAGGACAATGCCAGATACCTTCATCCAGCAAGATGAAATTGATATGCTTGAATTAGGTATGTATCTAAAGATCCTTCATATGTTAAATATTTTTCCTGTTACATAACACTTGCCATAGTTTCTCCAAACCTACTGGAGGGACTGTAAAAGTATCCATTTTTCCATCCAAACTTGGTCCGAAAATCAGGTCTCATATTGTTTGAAACTGATTAGTAAGCAAATGGTAGGACTCTAGCTAGCTCGCCCAATAGTAAATAAATGATCGCACAGGACAAGGACTTCAATTGACATATCGATATAATTTCTTGATCCAGACTCAGATTGGAGGGAACTTGAGAGAGCACAACTTAAAATTGATGGTTAACATGTTCAAATGAATAGTCTTGATTTACTATACAATTTGACTTACTTTTCAATTATAAGTTGGTGGTTTTGTCAATTCAGGTTATAAAGCAAAATCGTATCTAGTGCTGCTCATAAAGATGAACCAATTGAGAGTTGAGACCATTAATGGTGCGATGTGCTACCGAGTTTTATGACAAGATTATGGAGGAACTTGGATTTATTCGATCTGCAATGCAACCAGTCTCTTTGATGAACTTTCTTCACTTCTGATGCTAGTACGAAGAATAAGGTGCAAAATTTAGGAAATCCACCTGTTTTCCATGTTGCAAGGCACCAGCTGAATCAAATATGCTGATCCTACTGCTTATTTATTTCGTTTTTATTTTTTTCCCTGGGTGCAAATGTAGGATCAACTGCATAATCTCTTTTTTATGCCGATCCATGTTGCTGAACTCAAGTATAGTGATAACAATGGACTCACATAGTTTCTCCAATTGGTATCGGCTATCATTATTTGATGGTTTTAATTCTCTCTGCTATCATTTGTTTTCAACTGTTGAAATCCTCTCTCAAACATCCATTTGAACACCCATAAAAATGCTTAGTATGTTGCACATTGTGCGTGTCTGAGAGAGAGGGAGAGAGATTATTAATATGGATCTCCACTAAAAAGAAGCATAATTGTTTCTTTTACAACCCTAACATATAATTTGAAATACAACAAATGAAGAAGGGCAGAAGAAATAAATGGAAAAGGAAAATGAGTCGGGCTAACTATACCCACTTTACAACACCATTAACCAAAATCTTGATATGTAGGATAAAATTACAAAGGAACCATAAAAATTCCTGGAGAGAGCAAGCATTTATACCAAACACTAAAAGCAAATTACATTAGGGAGTGAAAGCTCCTCTTTCCCATTCCAAGTCAAAAATCAAGTGTAGTCTAACAAAGCACCAAATGCACAGAAACACGGTGGAAGAATAAAATCACCAGCTATCCTCTTTTTCTGCCTCACTCTCCTTTACTAATACCAGATTTCAAGTTCTTCATATTTTCAGTGTTGCCTCGGAGTAAGAATATTAAGAAGCAATATACGTTTAGTTGTATATTTTCACAGGTTTCTCAAATGTGTGGCGGTTCTGCAATTATCAGAAAGCTCAAAAGTTAGTAGGATAGGAAATTATGCCTAGCAAATATTTATTTCCTGAAGTGAAGAG